TCGCAATGTGTTCATTTCCGTGGAAAACCCGGAAAGAAGCTGGCTGTGGGCCATTCTTGCCCTGTTTGTCCGGCGCACCTGTGATGAGCCTTTTCAAGCTTGGTATCAGACCTGCAGGAAAATCACTTTTTCAGCATGTATGTGGGGATCACGCAGAGACAAGCGCACTTCCTGGCTGTGTCCTGCCTATGTTCTGGACTCCCTGGAACGTGACTGCGATCAGAGCCACGAGCATGCGCCTTGGGGCGCTAGCCAAACTCACGGCCGGTTGCAGTTTCACACTGCCTTTGAAGCCGAGTACCCTCAGCCTTTGTGCGCTCATGTAGCTGATTGCGTCCGTAAGCGTGACCAGGAGCTGGGTTTCGATGTCCAAGCGCAACCTCATTGGCATGCCCTTTCTATGGCGCAAACCGGATCCCAGTCACGAAAGTATCCGCGGTTGATGCCCGAATTTAAATACATCACCCGCCGTCGGCCTGATCGACCCTTCAAACTTCTCAGCTCCCCTGACGAAAGGGGGTGTGAGACGGGGGGCGCTGAGTCAGCAGAGCAGTATGGTGTATTTTTTACGCCTGAAGAGTTCCTTGAGGAAGCAAAGAATCTGATCCACCCCATGGACAGACCGCATGGGGATATTCCTGATGTCTTGAAGAGGTCCGTCTTTGATCGCCTCACTAAGAGTAACTTTGTGGTCCTCAAAGAGCGGCTAAAGTACATCTTGCACGTGAGGGAAACCTTGAGGTCTCTCGAGAAGGATGAGAGGGACTTACATGCCAGCTTGGGCCCAAGGATGCAGGAGGTGGTCAAGGGCAAAAATTTACTTCTTTGGAAAGCCCTGCTGGAGGAAGCCGGTTATGACGACCCGGGGGTTTACAATTTCATGTTTGAGGGAGTCAATTTGGTTGGCGCCCACGAACGCACTGATATCTATCCTCCCAAGCTCGTGCCTGCAACCGACACTGCAGATGCCTTGAGGTGGTCGGCCAAGTGGCGCAGGAAGGCTGTGCTGGGCAAAAAGCCCATCAATTCTGACCCAGCAGAGAAGCAGTCTCTGTGGGACGCCACAATGGAAGAAGTGCAGCAGGGATTCCTTCAAGGGCCCTATCATTCTGAGGATCTGGTGTCAGCAGCCGTAGGTTGCGAAGACTGGGTTGTCAGCCGGCGCTTTGCAGTTTTCCAGGGTGCGGAGAGCAAGTGTCGGACCATAGATGATTTCAAGGAAAGCGGCATCAACAGTTGCTTCACCGTTCAATCTCACCTGACCCTGCAGGATTTGGACGTGGTAGCAACAATGGTTCGTAGAGTCGGGGAGTGTCTCTGCGCTGGTCAGGTGTGCTTCGAGCTCACGGATGGCACAATCTTGGAGGGGCGTGTTCACCCCGACTGGCACAATGCTGAGGTGCTAGGTAGGGGCGTGGATTTATCCAAGGCATATAAGCAGGTTCCGGTCCATCCTTCATCGCTACCCTTCACGGTTCTGGCAGTGGAGGATCCAACCACAGGAGCTTGGAATTTCTTCACGACGAACTCGACTCCTTTTGGATCGTCTGCGTCCGTATATTCTTTTAACCGAATCTCGCGAAGCATATGGTACTTGCTTGTCGTCAAGTTGGGCGTGATGACCACAGTTTATTATGACGACTTTCCTATGCTGGAATCTCAACCAGTCTGTGAGGCAACAGCCAAGGCAGTTGGGGCGTTGCTTGACCTTCTTGGGTGGAGACACGCCACAACTGGGCCTAAGGCCACTCCTTTCTCAACGACTTTTTCAGTGTTGGGAGCCGAGTTTGATTTGGCAAATCTGGGACGTGGAGAGTTCAAGATCAGCAACAAGCCAGGCCGAGTTGAGAAGCTCATCAGCAGCTTGGACCGCATCCGCGATCAAGGGACTCTTGACAAACATGAAGCTGCTTCCTTGCATGGTGCCTTGAATTTTGCCACCGGATTCTTTCTTGGTAAGCAGCTGCGTCATGTAGCCAGATTCATGCTCCAGTTTTCGGCCACGTCCACCCAGAAGGGCGTCACGGACTTGTGTTCCTATCTTGCCTCCTTGCTGCAGCAATCCAAGCCTCGATCGGTGTATTGCAGTCCGCCCGAACCTCCCTGCTTAGTGTTCTCAGATGCGGCCTGGGAAAATGAACAAGCAGGAGCGGGCGGGCTCTTCTACGACCCTCGAACGCGTGAGTGCGAGGTTTTCCAGTGCACTGTTCCGAAATCATGCATCAGCCAGTGGTTAGGCGAGGTCGGATCCCAAATCATCAGTCAGTTGGAGCTTTTCACCGCGTTAATGGCCCGCTGCCACTACCGTGACCGTTTGATTGGCAGACGCGCCCTCTTTTTCGTGGACAACGAAGCCGCGCGCTTCGGGCTGATAAAAGCCAGCAGTCCGTCGGTCACAATGCTTCACTTGATCAGCTTATTTCACGAGGAAGACCTTGATAGCCACAGCTACTGGTGGGTCGAACGGGTCCAGTCCGATGCCAACCCGGCTGATGCTCCATCCCGGGGCATCGTGGCCGATTCTCTCAGCAGGTTTGGGGCCTCCCAGGCAATTGAGATCTCACCTTCGCCTCAGCAACTTGAGAGGCTTGCTCCTTGGCAATTGCCATTTGCAAGGGGCCCAATCAGAGCTTCAGGAGGAGGGGGAGAGTGTCCGAAGCGTCGCAGACTTGCAAACATGTATGCCTGAGCCAAGCAGCAAACCGTGTGCTGCTTTTCGGAGCCAGGTTTTGCAAATCTTTCTGCATCATCTTTTTCATTTGGACATGCCTGGATCGTACCCCCGTGCTGAGACACCAAAAGAAAAGGGAGTGCGACATTAGTTTGGAGCGCTTTAAATATCTAAATCCCTTTTGCGGATTCTTTTGAATCCGAGCATTTTGCCGTCGCTGCATTTATTTGTGCGTTGCATGCGTGAAGCCACTCATAAGCCTCCGGCCCATGCGCAGACCGCATTGCCACATTCCACGTTTGTGCTTTCAGCAGTAGGCTCGGTCCCCTTATTTGGCTCAAGACAATACACTTCAACTTGTTGATGGATTTGTCTTTGGCCAAAAAGGGCAGCGACCTCTCTGGGGTGCCCTAGTCATATCTAATCATAATTGTTTCACAAAGAGGGAGCGGGCCGAGTCTAGGTTGTGGCGCCTTTGATTTGCAGCGTGACCTCTTTTTGGTCAACCAACACATCTGATCCTCTGTACCGCACGCAGAGGTTCGTGCGTGGCAAACAATAAGTGGTCATGGCGTTGGAACCATGTCATGACTTTGCATTGTGTGACTTGCCATACTTGCATTGTTTTTTTGAACACCGTTCTTTCAATCAGACCAAACCCTCATGTGGATTGTTTGAGCCGGAAGCACGTTGGCTCAGCAACCTAGGGTGTGGAGGGCGGGTGCCGTTTTTCAAGATTTTCCAGCGTGTGGATTTTCTTGCCCGCCCACTCCACCCAAATCCACACTGGGGGGGAGAGTGTCCGAAGCGTCGCAGACTTGCAAACATGTATGCCTGAGCCAAGCAGCAAACCGTGTGCTGCTTTTCGGAGCCAGGTTTTGCAAATCTTTCTGCATCATCTTTTTCATTTGGACATGCCTGGATCGTACCCCCGTGCTGAGACACCAAAAGAAAAGGGAGTGCGACATTAGTTTGGAGCGCTTTAAATATCTAAATCCCTTTTGCGGATTCTTTTGAATCCGAGCATTTTGCCGTCGCTGCATTTATTTGTGCGTTGCATGCGTGAAGCCACTCATAAGCCTCCGGCCCATGCGCAGACCGCATTGCCACATTCCACGTTTGTGCTTTCAGCAGTAGGCTCGGTCCCCTTATTTGGCTCAAGACATGCCTATAGGAGGAGGCGTGTTTTGAGCTAAGAAACCATGCTCATGGCTTCGAGGCTGTCTGCATGTCTTTATTCTTTCCGTCTTTCTTTACTGTACCTTTTGTATTCATGTCTTTCTTTAGTTGTTTCTTTATTCATGTCTTTCTTTCTTTCTTTTTTTTTTCTTTCTTTCTTTCTTTCTTTCTTTCTTTCTTTCTTTCTTTCTTTCTTTCATTGTTTGTTCTTTTGTTGTTTTGTGTTTCTTTCATTATTTATTTCTTGATTTCTTTATTTATTTGTTTCTGTATTTATTTATGTATTTATTGTTTTATTTCTGTCTTGATGTCTGTCTTTATTTTTATTTTTTCTTTATTCGTTATGTCTTTATTTAGTTTATTTCTTTATTTCTTTCTTTATTTCTTTCTTTCTTTCTTTCTTTATTTCTTTCTTTCTTCCTTTCTTTATTTATTTCTTTCGTTTGTTCTTCTTTCTATGTTCTTATTCCCCTTTGTTTGTATTTCCTTCGTTCTTTCTTTATTCCTTTCTTTCTTTCTTGTTTAGTTAGTTCTTTCTTTATTTAGTTCCTTCCTCATGCCTTGTTTTCTTCGTTTATTTTTCTCCTTCTTGCTTTCCTCTCTCTCTCTCTCTCTTTTTCCCATTGGATCTATCTAACTATTTATCTATCAGCACCCTGACATTGCCACAGTGCTGTGCCTGCCACGCGATGTACACGTCCGATCCATATGCATGCGCAGGCCATTTGGGAACTTCCCAGACCACGGCGAACCCGTGGCGAAACCATGCGCGGAGGTAGCCTTCGCAATCTTGCCTAACGCAATTTTGCTGCGCCTACCACACAATTCCTTCCTTCTCTATCTCATTATTGTATTTATTCTTTGTATTTCTCACTTTGTTCTTTCTTTGCACGACTCTGCTGTTTCAACTTTTCTTATCACGGACGTTTTCCAACTAAGCTTCCTTTGAGAACTGTCATGCGCCATGTGTTTAAGTTTATTGCAATATGGTTTATCCTAAGCAGCAAGTTTGACATAGCCAAACCGCAGTGTTAAATGCACTGCATAACTAAAAATTGTATGTACGAGTACACTAGAAAGACCAGAGCACGTGAGTGATTCTTGCGATGAGAACCTGCTTTGAGATGCATCCACAAGAGACGGCGTGCAGGTTGCAACATCAAGGAGCTGCAGGGAATGGGTGCGGAGGTGTGAGGTAGGCGAGCATGCGAAGAAGATGGTATGCGGTTGCAACCGCCAATGATTGTTAAATTATTGTACTCTCTGAGGTAGGTAACGACTCCTTCCGGGACCCAGTTGATCTGTCGGCATTTAGTTGCAAGTGTTCATCAACCGTGTTCTGAATAATCCTCGTTGCAAAAAGATCCTCGTTGCGTGCCTTGGACCTTGGCAGTTGAAGAGTTTGGCAAGCCCGGCAGCTTCAAGCACGCGAATGGCAGGTCCTTCCCTAGCATTAGCCGTTGCTTTGAAGATGGCCTTTGGCAGCGGTTTTCGGCGCTCCCGTCTCGAAAGTGGTATGTGAAAATGCCGGTTGTCGGTCGTGCGGCGACCCGCTGAAAAGTGAAGCTTACAGGATTTTTGCCAAGGTGAGTCTCTAATTCAGGGTTGGTCGAATAGCGCTCCTTCATAATGAAGACCTGTGTCTCGAAAAATCGCCGGGTTACAAGCCTGGTCGGCGCTAGCTTGTTTCGAAGTTTGCCCAAGATCCTCAAATCGGCATGACGGGGTGCTGCATGGAGCCGCATTCCGGTACTTGCTAGCGGAAACGGAGTCCGCCGAAGTCCGAGTTCCGAGGACATCCTCAGCTCGGAAGTCCTTGGCAGCGCTGTCGGAGTCGAGGAAGTCTCTGGTCGAGGTACGCACACAAATGTGGTTTCCATAGAGGACCCACTGGTGGACATCAAAATTCGGGGGGGATTCATGGCCACCAACCACTTTTGAGATGGTTTCCTAACAAATTTCACAGCCATGTCATGAGACTGGGCTGGTCAAAGGCGATTCACCCGATTCACACATGGAATCTGACCACGATCCGTTTGCAAAAGGAGCCTGTTTGAAGTGCACGTTGCCTTTGTTTCGGTCGTGGTGCCCAAAGAAATACGTGTCTCATGACAATGGCATTCAACAAATAATTTGCTGGATATAGGTATATATCCTATTTGGTGTGTCGAAAGTGGCTCGGGGCAATCTAATCACCTCTTTCCAAGGATTGGCTTACGAAAGCTTGGGCTGCATGCCAAAACGGCATTGGCTTTATAAGGTTGATTCAGAGTTGGATTGAGGAGGTGCACGGGATTTGCGGGGGATAGGCTGTGTTTTCTGTTCATGCAGTGGAGGAGGGAGCAATCTGAGTCTTGCATCCTGACGTCTGAGTCGTGCCATGAGAATCCAGGTTGGCTGAAGCTCCCAGTGTTTGGAAGGGCGTTTGAACGGAGCCACCCTCTGGAGACACAATGGGCAAGCCCGAGGTCATTGCAGCCGAAGTTGCTCGGCAGTTGCAATGCTTGGCTCCTGTCTTTCGACACATGGGTGATTCCTCTTGAGAGAATGTTTGTTGCTGTAAGGAGACTCTCTTCAAAGATCCGCCCATGAGTGCTGCTAGCCTTGCAATGATTCAAATGCTTGCAACAAGTACTGATCTCTGGATGTGTCTGTGTGTGCGTCTGTGTATGTTTCCTTCGTTGTTTGTTTGTTTGTTTGTTTGTTTGTCTGCCTGTCTCTGCTTGTCTGTCTGTGTGTCTGTCTGTCTGTCTGTCCGTCTGTCTGTCTGTCTGTGTGTCTGTCTGCCTGTCTGTCTGTCTGTCTGTCCGTCTGTCTGTCCGTCTGTCTGTCTGTCTGTCTGTCTGCCTGCCTGTCTGCCTGTCTGCCTGCCTGTCTGTCTGTCTGTCTATGTGTCGTTTGCTTGTTTGTGGTTCTCACCAGAATCGTGAACTTCCGTGACCTCTGCCAGTTCCAGGAAACTCCCGGCTACGCCAGGTGATGCAGATGTATGGCCCCGAGGAGGAGAAGGTAGAGGAGAAAGTCAACCGGGGCAGCTTGAGCGGATGGTGCGCCGGCCGATTTTTGTTGCCCGTGGCATGGTTCATAGAAACGCCCGTCCTTGCTTTGCTGGCTCGCTGAAGAAAAAGCACTACGTGCCCACAGGAACATGTCCCAAGCATGTCACCTTCAAACTAGGGCCATCGACCTTGTACATGGGGATACATAAGAGTATGACAGGATAGTAGATGTTTGTAGCTGCGTCTGTAGCTGCACTCCTGCACCATGTAGTGATGTTCCTTGATGTTGTGTTTGCCAAACAACAAGGCTGCAAATGGGCTAGATTGTCGCCGTGTTCAAGCGCCTCGGAACAAATTGGGCTGAGTCCTGCGTCCTGTGCTTAGTAGTCACCAGAACCCTCCAACGGCGGGTCGCAAAGAGAACACGCCGGGCATGGATATGTCCAGCTCACACCGCGCGAAGGTACTCGGAGAAGCCGGAGGATCCGATCCGTCGGATAGGGTGCACGTGTTTCTGACCAGGGTAAGCTCAAATTCCCCAGAAACCAGTCAAATGATAGAATCCATTGTTTCTCTTCTAGAATTTCCCCAGAAACCATGGTTGGACCTCTAGAAGCCCAAAACCGGTCCAACTATGTCAAGAGTTGCGATTGGTTGTTGTCACCACTGACATCAATGTGCTTTCAGTGCGTTGTTGTTTCATGGTTAATGTCGGCACCGTCGAATGTCGGCGCCATTTTCGGTGGGCGACCAAAGAAGCCGAAGAGAAATCCGTTTGGAGGGCCAAACTCATCGGCTTGACTCCCTTTAAGATTGGGTATCTAAAATAGGTTCTAAAATGGGTGGCGCACCTACCAACCAAAAAGGTACCAGTGGTTTTGACCCACAGCCATATGTGTCAGGTTTCTTGAGTGCTGAACATCCTGCTGGATTCGATGAAGAGTTGAGACTATCTCACTCTCGCCTTTGGATGGTGTTGAAGGAGCTGCCACGTATCTCTTTGGGAGACACTGTTGAATTTAAGTGGCCGAGGAGATCAGGCCCAGTGAGTCATGGTTAATCATAGTACTTGGAAGCAATCCGATTCGAATGCCTACTTTGGTATTTCCCCAGTGCCTTGCTTTCCCATCGAGTTCGGGTGCCTTCTGTGCCCGAGGCTTCGGACGAAACCGGTCGCACAATGTCGCACAACAGTTTCACAATGTTGGAGATACGACCAGGCACTTGCTGGTCGAGGATGGCACTGGGTCACAGAGAATGTGTGTGCTACTGTACTATTCATCCGCATGATCAAGTATAACTAGGGTTGTCGACATATTTATCTACACTGCTATACAAAAATCGAGTCTCATGTTCTTCTAGATCATGCTCAGCCGAATCCACTGGATGATTTGTCGAATGTTGTTTTTAGTAGGCAGCTATCTTTTGTTTTGTCCAGGACAAAGCTGAAGGAGATGAGCCCAAGCGGGACCGCTCCCTCTCCAACTGGTGCGCATGGAACATCGCACCAAGGTCTCACAGATTTTTTGCGCGTCCGGAAGCATCACTAAATGGTTGTTCCAGTTGTACAAGCCCGACCTGTTTCTTCAAGTTGATCTTCCAATTGTTTACCATGCTTGATTGTGGCCCACAAGCTTCGCCTCTTGCTGTCAGGTCGAGATCCGACAGCGTGATTTGCTTGAAACTGCCGAGTTGCGTTTCTTGCCGATGTGCCAGTTGCGTGGTTGTTTGAGACGATTCGCCCTTGCCGTATGGGGAAACCTCGCAAGCCAATTGAAGACGAATCCGAGAAACCGTTCAGGAAGCTCAACCCCCTATGCTTGAACACGTCCATTGCCCCACATCAGCGTTATATTCTCCACTCCTCCCAGAATTTCAAGCCAGGGGGCCGGAGTCTGTTTTCAATTTTGGCGCCAAAGAGCCAAACAATGAAATGGAGGTCCACAAACCCCCCTGGGTGTCCAATTCACGGGAGGCCTTGTAGATGTGGGCAACCGATCTGCATTGAAAGGTACAAGGACGGCCCTGAGGGCGAGTCAGCCGTGCCCTCTGCGGCCAAGGCAGGGCCAAAGGTGCCGTGTGAAAGAAGACAGCAAGCAAGCCAAGGAAGGTACGACAGGCACCCCAAAAAGGGAACACGTGCCGAACGTGCTGGAATGAAAGGGGAAATTTGCAAAACAAGCCCCCCACGATTGTCGCTTCAGTTTTGGGATGGAATCCTTCAGACTCAGAGTGCCATCAGGTTCCTCGCGCCCCAGTGATTAGTAGCAGCGCAGTGGTTGCGAGGCTTGGTTTTTGGACTTCTTGGGCTTCGACCCTCAACAGAGTGTTGACCATGGCACGGATGTAGAATGATCTGCCACGTAATAATAAAGTAAGGCAAACACTCGGGAAGGGATTTGTTTTGTGCTTGCAGTTTTTTGAGCGGGTCACCCTGACACATGGAAACAGGCGCTATTTTGAGGATGCCTCGAATGAGCTTTGTCAGCGACAATGTAGATGTGCAGCATGACGCCAAGATGTTCACTAACCGTCCTCAGAGGTCTATTCACCGATCTTGCCAACGCATGCCAATGATGCGGAACCCATGGTGAGGAGAGGAGTCTAGCAACGCCCATTTGCGTCAGCAACCCACGCATGGTTGGCCGGCGGATGCGGATTAGGCTGTGTGTGTGTGTGGTGTGCACGCTCGTGCGCGCTTGTGTGTGTGTGTGCTGGCATGCTGGTTGATGCTGCGGAACTATTTGGCGTTGCTTACAAGTGCCTTGGGGTTGGAAGGGAGGGGCGCTGTTGAGGGATGCTAGACCAACGAGGGAACCGTGGGCATGGCCAAGAGACGGACCACATGAGTTTATGTCATGGTGGAACCCCAAATGGCTGAGTTTCTGTTGGTTTCTTAAGTTGAAATCATCCGGGTAGCCTCAAAATACGCGATCCCCAAAGCCACGGATCCCTTCCGAAATCCCCCCAAAAAAAAACGCCCGGAGCCGCTCCGAACCACTTCGGAGCTTATTTGGGCGCTCTGCCCCCTGAGCTTTCTGGGCAAAACACAGACCCACATGGGTATGACTCAAAATTGAAGAGCTAGGGTTACGCAGGTTTTAGGCTTTTCCATTTACCAAGGTGCCATTTTGGGACCACTTTTTTGAGCCACAGCCTGATCCGCGGAAAAACTTCTTGGAAATCCAGACATTGCCAGGTGATGAGCTTGCATGGGCAGGAAGGCGCGACTGCCGGTCCGCATGTGTGGCTCATTCGCACGCAGAACAAGGAAACCCGCTCATTGCTGGGTTTTCCCCGCTGCCTTCCTTTCAAGCACCGTAAGTCGGAGATGTCCCATTACTGTTCACATCCATACTTGTCACGCTGCTTTGTTCAGTGAATTATTTGATGTTGTCCTTCAAGAGCATGTTTCCGGTAAAACCTAGTGCTGCGGGTCTCTATTGGTTTTGTGTTGGTTGCCAGCTTTCTGTTGGCTCTTCCAGAGTCGGCCCGTGGTTTGCGCCTCATTCAGCACTTGGCCCCCAAGGGCGAACAACTACTCGAGCATTGTTCCTTGATTTGGGCACTGCATTGGCTGAGTCAGTACAAAGAAAGATGATTCGACTCGATGGGAGAGCTCTTCAATTCGAAGCATCCAGCTCCTTCCAAATGGCTGGCTCCCACAGATGCCAGCGCAGGCGACGTGAGCGGTCTTGGCCTCAGCAATCCTTTGCGTTGCCACAAGTTTGCAGTGGCACGATGTGCTGCAATCCGAAGCCATGCGACGGCGACACGAGCTCTTTGTGTTAAATCAAGAAAATGCGGACCTTTCTAACATGAAGGTCAACTGCATTCAAGGCCCCAGGTCGGCTTTCAGAAGCCTCAAACGCAACTTCACGTGAGCGAAGTGCGAACATGCTTCCAAAACTCCCAGGATTGAAGCTTTCGGCCAAGGAATAAATCATTATATCAATATCTATCAAAGGATGCGCCGAAACTCCTACATATCCTACATCAATGTA